AAAATTATGTTTAAAAGAGATTCAAAACAAAGACTCACTGTAATGCATTCTAGACCACAGTGGTCAAGTTTAGCTCACAAAGGCCCCTGTTTGCCTAGGTTCAATCTGGTGAGTAGTGTGGTAGGAATAGGGGGTTGTCAGAAGGCCTCATGCTTGGAGGGAGGAGAGACTGTCAAAGCAGTACTTCTCATGAGAGGCTTCTAGGATTGGACAGGCATGAACCTTACTCAAACTTTCTTGGTCCTGTGGTTCCTGAGAAGAGATGGATCAGAGTGAATGCAAGAGGTAGGATACACATTGAGAACAGAATGTGTAAGTTGTCAATGGAATCTGGAAATTACTGGCAACAGTTTGAGGTGTGGTGGGTGTGGTTGAGGGTGAAGGACAATGAAAATATCATTCAGGAGAGATTAATGGAAATTCCATGAAAGGGATGATTTGAACAATGGCCAAGGTTTCTTGTTATGTCTCATGATGATGATATGTCATCTCTTTGATTCTCAAAATGCTCTCAAAATTCAAAATGGTATGGAGATGTCCAACTGTAGACTTCTCTTGGTGGTCTAGTGGCAGTTATTAGGAAGTTATTCTGGCATATCTGCAAATGTCCAGATAACTTTGTGGGAAAATTAGGTTCAAAGAAGTATTGCACTATAAAAATAACCTGAGCAAGCTAAAGAGTTATGTTGAAGCTGAACATGACAAATCTTTTTCTAGTAGATAAAATAATTATTTCAACCATTTCTGCAGAGAAGAATACTTCTATTCTGTACTAAGGATTTTCTCTTCTTTTACCAACAGGGACTGCTCTAAATTATTTAACATATGACTTAATTTAAATACTCCTTTATGTAATATGATCATTAATTTACTTAACTCTTCTAACAGATGGAAAGATGTTTAGAGAAGAGCTTATGTCATTTAAAAATATTCTGCAGTCATTTCATAAAGTATCTTGTACCTCAATTAAGTGCCCCTGAGATATATACTGGAGTCTATTACACAAAATAAATTAAAAAGTTGGTTTCTTTCAGAACATTCCACAGAAATCCTCAAAGAACCACTGAACTAGTCTTTCAGTCCCTAAGATTCAAACATTTGGTTAGCTGCATTTCCTGGAATCTCTGAAATTGATTGTTCACAACAGCAACGTAGGGCTCAAAGTGGAAAGATTTGCTTCTAATCGATACATAACCACATCACACCTTCTTCCTGACAAAAGACAGGGTGGCTGGCCTGTTAGACCTACTAGAAACTCACTAGGATAGACTGACTGTCATCTGCTTAAAGAAGTTCATTTAAGGACAAAATGTAAAATGGCAATAAAGAATAACACAGCTGAGTGGTTAACATTTTATTTCAAAAAGCAAGATATTGTATATAACACTTTCTGAGAAAATAAGATACCGTAATTAAATGAATTCCATGTTTTTAAACACAATAAGAATAGACAGAACCTTTCAAATATGTTTATTCAAACTTTATTTAATACAATGCAACTTAATTGGGAGACTTAAAGGGTGATTTCTGTCTCACAAAATAAAAGTTCTTGCAAAAATTTTGGTTCTGTATTTATTTATTTAAATATTATAATCTCAACCTATATTACAATGGCTTAATCTTCTAAATGAGAATAAATGCATTATATTTGAATAATTCTTCTTATGTACCATGAAAGTACATTTCCCCTTCTTATAGCCAATAAAAAACTGACACAAAAAACAATGAAGCTTTGTCTTTTTCAAGTAGAATACAGTCTGAGATTCAAAACAGTCTTCCCTGAAAACTGCAATTACTTCCACCTCCCTCAAAAGGAAAAAGAACAAAGCTCCAAAAAATACATGTGCTTTACTAATTCTAATTGGATTTAAATTTTTATATGTGGTAGACTCCACTGAATGTTTGCTTCACTCACTCTGGCTATAATAACAAAACGATTTGAAAAGGAAAATATTTTAAGATTTTTTTTGTCATTTCCTACAAGCTATGTCATTCTTCAAGGATAAGCTGACTAGCACTTTTTTTTTCCCCATCAAATAGCCATGATAAACACATGTAAGTGGAAATATACATTTATTTCTGATCTTACATACATACCTCCATTCCTTTTAGAAGCCTGGTTCCTCATGTTTAATTCTGGAATTGCTTTCTGCTTTACTTCTTGATTGGCAGTGTACAAGCCATGTTTAAGCCAAGCCTTATTCCTCTGACCCCCAGGAAACCCAGTGTTAATCTTTATTTAAGAGCTTAATTCACTTAAAACTTTGTCAGAATGTTATATGTCTATTTCTTTAAAAGAGGTGACTCAACAACTCAGTCACCCACACACATATAAGAAAAATTTCCATCCTGTAAAGTTAACATTTATTATTGAATATTTTAATATACCATAGAACTTTCAGTTTCGAATTTTCCCCAAAAATACATATTCTTCCCTTGAAGCTGTCATACAAATGGGGAGAATATCTTCTCCAATTTCAAAACCATCAAAGTAGGTTTTCAGAAACTACTTTCTAAATCCCGGGAGTAGTGTGCTTGAAGGACAAGCACGTCAATCTCTTTAGAAATTGAGCTGGGGAAAGTAAAATTTAATTCCTATTTGAACATTTATTATTGGTACCAATGAATTGAACTGACTGAAACTGTGAGCACCTACTATTATCACTAATTGTAGTTCTATAACTACATGGAAGTGAAGCTGCATCCCATTATTTCAATTACTGAAATCTTACAGGCAGGTTGTTTAATTTGTCTTGTCCTACTATCTTTCAACAGCTTTCCACTGCACAGATTGTTAAAAATGATTCACAAACCACTGCTGTCTTCAAACTATATAGTACAAAAGGTAGCCAAGAAATAATTGTATGTTGTACTGAACATAAAATAATTGGTGGCTTCAGAATATGTTTTTGACACAAAGCCTGCCTGCTCATTGTAGAAAATTTTGTCAATTTATGTGAAAATATTTATTACCTGTAACCATAGATACACAAAATCAATGCATGTGTTATGTAACATTATGTCAGCAATGCATTTGTTATGCTTTGAGATTTCTTTGGGTCTAGATGACTGCTCTGCCAAATAACTTGTTTTGATTTTTGTTTTTTGTTTTTTTTTTTTTTTACTAGCACAAGTGATTGCTGTGCTACATTTGCAATTGTAATGATAATTTTCCTGGGAATGCTAAATTAAGTCTTAATTTTATTCAAAAGCTTTTATTTTCAAAGCAATTAAAGTTATTGTTGATTGATATTTACCATCTAATGTTCCTGAAACACTAAAAGAATATGCTTTATACATAATCTTCCATTACAGCACATTGCTAGAGAGTAGCTATTGATATATCAGCATTCAGTTGAGTTTTCAAACCAAGGAACAAAAATTATAGCAATTTCACTTGAAATCCATAAATCCATGCACAGAATTGTGTTCAACAGAATCACTAAATGCTATTTTTTTATTTGAAGATGAATGAATCAATAGAAAAATAGAACAGATAAATCATTGGTACTTTAATGCAGAGTGGACAGAGAAACTAATAAGTCATGCATTTCAAGCATTTGTTTTTCTTATGGCATGTTTGAAAACATAAAACATGCAATGAAAGATGCAGGTCAGTGTGAATGAACAATACTGAAACTACTCAGAATAGCATTTCATTTTATATCATAGGTTTAATAAAACCACAAGAAAAGAACTATTCCATAATTTCTTCCCATAATCAGAGAATCCAACTTCATCTTCAACAGTGGAGACAATGATGTGGGCCATTATTTCCAAATAAACATTTGAAATGTCATAGAGATGGATGTGAAGTAGGTGAGGGGGAGGAACTTACTGCATGCTTGATTTGCTCCAGTGAGCTCAATATTATTACAGGTATCAATTTAAACTAAAAAGGAACTGATATGTTTACTTTCTCGAGTGAAGTTAACTGAGCCATTAACAATTACGGATGTCTAAATTTGTAAATGATCAAAAAAGCAGGAAATCAGCAACTGAGCTTTGATTGTGTTGCAAGGACTACAGTCTGTTAAAGGTGAGAATTTTAATTATAATTAATGGATAATTCACTCTCTTCCAGTGTTTTAGTCATCACAAAATGAGCCACCAGAAACACAAATTTCTCCACAGTGCTTAATTAATTATGCGCTAAGCCATTTCTCCTAAGCATCTTTTTCTGAATCTTTGGTGGGAAAAACAGTTTATTAGGCACAGTTTATTAGTTTAAAACATCTATTTGGTTACTGGTGTGATTATGACTTTTTATCTAGATTCACATGCAGAAAGTAACAAAGCTTGGCATATTAGCGCACTTTACTGCCAAGGAACATGTTTTCACTTATTCCTGGAAATAAAAACATAAATAACCAAAAAAAAAAATCACTTTCTACTTCTGAGGACAAGCAAATTTTACACCTGATATTTTAAATTCCACTCAGAAGCATAAAGATGTTGAAGAAAAACTTAAGATATAACAAGGTACTATAGACAACTATTTAATAAAATCATTCAATTGTGAGTTTCTCCTTAAGTCGAAGGTCAAAGATCACTGCTACACTGTTTCTGAAAGAAAAATACAGCAATCGCAATTATGGAAAACCGTAACATTATTGATTAGTGCTTATTAATAATTGTAATCACACTGAGAATCATATTTCCCGTGGCATTTCCTTTTCATGAGAGCTTTTTCTCACAGGTTAGTAAATGAAAATTGGCAGAGAAATGTGTGGGAGATATAAAAATCTATGGGAATGCATGCAACAAAAATATGCAGTATCACTTCATATAAACTTCTGCTTTCTTCATGCAACGATTCCTATAAAAACTGAGACAATTTTCTAATAGCTGATTTTTACAGTAGCTCAGTAACAAAACTGTTAAACCAATTCTATGATTTTGCACAAGCAGAAGACTTGAAATGGTTCAAAGATTTCCAGCATAAGTGTTCCAAGGCCCAATTATGCTAATTAGATCACTAAGAATGGAACGATAGAGGATTATTCCTTGCTTTGGTTTCTTGTTCTTTTGACGAGGGAGCAGAACAACCCGGTTTTTGGAGGAGGGCCCATCAGCATTGGGGCTTGATTCTTGTGGGTAATTTTTATCTAGGGAAAAAGAAAAAAAGATAATTTCCAGATGCAATACTAATTTCTGAGAGTCTCTGTTAAGGTTAGTAATCTTTCACAAGATACTGAAACACCATAAATGTAAAATGTAATTTCGGAGTTTCTATTATTTCACAAATATTTCAAGGGAGATAGATATGTGAATTTAAGCCATTTTCCAGTGCTTTAGGGTGATAACAAAAATAAAATGAATCCAAATCACATTTTAACTATGACTTTACCTTTAACCTCACTCATAGTAACACCTCAAAACATCTTATCTAGGTACCTGATAATATAGCACAATTTATTGACCATTAGATATGCATTATTTATTCAAGGCATGCCATATTCAAGGAGCTGCCATTATAGTATTCAGAATTCCAGTTATAGGCCACCATCAAGATATACTGGTACTGAGGCAAACCTTATTTATCTTGCTAATCAGATTGTTTCTCCCTTTCAACATGAACTGCAAGGCTTAATTTCAAAACAATCATTAGAAATGAAAGTCAAAAGTTAACATGCATAAAAGGTCAGAAATGATGAACTAGCTTTCTAATTGGTTAATTAATTGGTAATAGAATAGAATCAAATATTGAAAAGCCTGCTTAAAACATATTGAGAAACTGTTTTAAAGCTACTCGTTTTGATTTCTTTGATATAAAACTACGAATCACCTTAAATGAGACAACCTTAAAGTAGATTATGTCTGCAATTTTCTCTAATTCAAGTCTAAATTAGAGAAGACATTTTATGAATATATGCTATGCTCAAAGCTAATTGAAAGCAATTATCAAAGTGGCATTTTGTCTGTGACTTTAAGATACATTGTAAGATAATAAATGATTCTCATTATGTAATAAAAAGGTCACATCTTGCCTTTGGGCTAGTGACGCTAAGAGTTTTTCAAAAGCAATCTGAGACATTTTCTTTAGAGAACTGTGACTAATACAAGAACCATCGCTTATTAAATATCAGTTGTCACCTGCACAGCAACCGCATCAGAGATGAGTATTCCTTTCAAAAAGAAACACCACCTCATTAAAAGCTGCAAAAATATATCTCTTAAAGTGCATACCTGACATTTTCAAGTTAAAATGCATATCCTTCACTTGTCATTCACTAATAGCAAAGAAACCAAAAAAAAAAAAAAAAAAAAACAGCCATGTGGACAGGGTCATTAAAATTGGCACTGGAGCTTTTGGGAAGTAGAGATTTACTTCATAGGTTAGAAAGACCGAAGTATGTCAAAAACCTTGAATAATGAACGACTTTATTAACACTGTTGGAATCAGGTTATTGTGAAAAGATTCAGTGTTCTTTCTCTCTTTACTGTGATAATAATAACCACGTGGGGAAGGCCAAGAGGCTAAACCAGCCCCAGCCCCTCTGGACATCAGATTTTTGAAAATTTTATTTTTGTTATCTTATGGACTGGGGGATCGATTACTAGAGAGTAGAACACCAAGGTGCTCATGTCCATGAAGCTTGAAAAAGTCTTTCCCACGAAAAGGGTGATGGAAGCACAGTGTACTACTACGGTGATGGAGTCTGGGTGATTTGGTGGTGGGTGTTCTATGGTGGCGATGTTGGATGGTGGTGTCCAATTATTTCCTCAATTAAAAAGAAATAAATTATTTAACAATAAAATAAAGGAAAAACCTTCAAGTTTTTTTTCATAATTAATTCAATTAGACATTGTACGTTAAGCAGTTGATTTTTAAATGCCCTGAATTCTAATTTTTGACAGAATCTAATACAGCATCATTCATACATTCATTCACTTGCCAAAACTGATCAAGCTCCTAGTTTGATTCAGATACAGTACTAGGAACCTTTAATAACTAGATACTGCACAATCTCAACCCCCAAGAAATGAGAATCAAACAGGAAAGAGAACTTTCATAAGTATATTTGATAATGTTATAGATACCAAAAAAGGAAAAAAAGTCCTTATTTTTATTGCTGAAAATGAAAATTAATCTTTCAATGCAGAAAAACCATTTAGAATAAATGCCTGAGGAGGCAGTCACCACATATTACTTGTCTGATAACCAGAACAATAGCTGCTAAAATAGGAAAGTACAGTTTTCTAGTCATACTTGCTGAATTAAAATCTTTTAGAGGGTATAATAATATAATGACATCTTGGAAAACAGGACCATTATCAAATTAGTGTTGTTAAGACTTTGGAAGAAACATATTCTTCTAGTCACATTTAAAAGATTATCACCAATTTATTACAAACTATAGTCAAAATACCACAGATTACTGTATGTGAGATTTGTTATGCTCCTGTGGTTTTAGGGATTTAAATTTTGTTGGATAATGATTATCTCTATATTGGACATTGCTTTTGGTAACAAAAAAACACGTTATTTCTTTTGAAAAATAGCAGTGTTCCATTCAGTGCTTTTGACACAATGTGCCCTGAACGCAGGCAACTGAGTAAAGATGATTTTGATTTTCAGTTTCTAAGCAGAAAATGGGCTGTCCAGTTGAAAAAATTATCTATAACCTGAGCTTGTGTTTATACTCCTAGGGTAAGAATACAACTTTTCTTTCATATTAACTCTGTAAAAATTAAATTTAGAGCCTCCTTGGTGGCACAAGGGGTTGTCTCAGCACTATCGAGTTCTCGCCAGACACTACAGCATGAGCTGGATCCCCGGCCAGGGAGCTGACCCGCATGGCACAGCAGACCTCTCCTGTTTCGCCTGCTGCTCCCCTCAGCAGTGTATTTCAGTAGATCCACATAACTCTGTCTCTGGTGAATCCTCTCACCCAGCACACCTCTGACCTATTCCACAGTTCTTGTATACATAAATAAATCAAACAAATCTTTAAAAAAAAAAAAACTATATCCTTTTAGTCTATTGTTTATTAAAATGAAACAGTTGGCTGTGTTTACCTTACAGGGAAGGTAAATAGAGGAAACTAACATTCCTGACATATCTATTATATATCTAGGCTCTCTGTACACATTATCACATTGAATAGTTCCATGTCTTTGTATATCTCCAGTAAGTAAGAGAGCCAGTCCAGACCAGGTGTATTATTAGTGGTGTGGTATCAGGGAGTGTGGAGACCTAAGTGTAACCTCGAGTAGATTTCATATATGGGGTCACAAGCCTGGAATACCTACTCAGATGCTTCTTTTGGCATACATTATATCCTTGTCTAAGATGTTTTTTGTGTGTGATCCTCCTACTTACTAGCTAAACCATAAGTAAGGAACAGCTTTTATTCCCAAAGACTTAAAAATGTGCGTGTATTCTTGCCACAATTTATACAAATCAAACACTCGGCTCTGTTTGAGTACTTTCATCATTTAAAAGTGAGATAACTATTTCTTTGCTGTTTCTCAATACCTCAAGTATTATTTATTACATACCAGCAACGAGCAAGACATTTTTGTAACATGATTACTTAGTTTGGAAGAATACCTGATATTGAAATGGAGAGAGAACTGTGCTCAGTCTCAAACAATGGTTAGGGGGTGCACAGAAGTGGGGCTGGATGAATGCAGGTGAAGAACAACGCTTGAAAAATAAAAGCTAAATATGATTAGCAATAAATGGGGTCTTTCTCATAAAACTTCATTCCTATGTATCAGTTATTACCACTGGAAAGGAGCAGCAGGTGACGAGAGGCACTTCTACTTTCCATGAATCTTTCTATTTCTGTAATCCTATTTCAAGGCAACAGTAGGAACATGCACACATATAAGGACCGAAAAATTGATTTTTGTTTTAGTTGTCTAATTAGTCAACATGAAATAAAGAGCATGTACACAGAGAAACCAGATCAAGGATTACAAAACATAGCTTTTTTGTTTCTATTATGCTGTCAGGCTTGCATAGTGTGATAGCTCCATCTCATAATGGCAACATTAAAAAAAAAAAAAAGAGGGCCCTCCCTGGTGGCCCAATGGGTTAAAGCACAGCACTGAGAATCTAAAGCTGCTTCCCCATGAGTTTGATTCCTGCCTGCCCTGGAGGTGACCACATGGCGTGGCAGACCTCTCCTAACCTGCCTGCTGCTCCCCTCAGCAGTGTACTTTGTCGATCTGCCTGTTCTGTTCCCCACTCTGTCTCTGGTGAAGCCTCTCACTGCCCCTGTGCCTCTGGCCTGTACCCCAGTTCTGTATGCACAAATAAATGAATCTTAAAAAAAAAGAATAAAAAAAAAATCAAGCTTTGCCCTTTGCTGTGTACTAAGCTTTACGCTGTGTGCTTTATACAAATGATTCATATATTTCTTGATTCACCATTTTCTTTGTTTGCTGTCAACAAAAGTCAATTCTCAGAGAAATGTAGAATTGAGTATGGTATCCTAAAAGATGGCTAGATGGCCAATGGCCACAGCACACAGCAAATAGTATCTATTTCCACTAGGCATCTGTGCTCTGTCCCCAGATTTTCTTTAGCTCAATGTCAGTTGAGGGAAGAGAGGAGGGTCTTCCCTGAATCATTCTCCAGGCATTCTCCTGGTTATAGGCATTTTCATTCCTTATTCCCTGACCCTCAGTATTGAATATTCCCAAAGCCTGTTATTTTAAAGTGTAATATTTCCCTTCCTCATCATATTTGTTTAATTTTTTCACAGAAGAAATGGGGGTGTAAGTCAGAGGTGTAAGGTGTGAGAGGGTTCATCAGAGACAGAGTGGGGAGTTAGAACAGGCGGATCGACCAAAATACACTGATGAGGGGGGCAGCAGGGTGATGGGAGAGGTCTGCTGTGCCATATGAGTCGGCAACCTGGTTGGGATCAAACTCAGGACTCAGTAGTGAGGGGCTGAGACTCAACCCCTAGTCTACCAGGGAGGTCTCCTCTTCCTTACGCTAACCACTTTGCTCAATACTCTGTTATAGGAGGCCAACCCTAAATTTTCCAATAAAATTAGAACAGATGTAGATCAGAAAATGTAAGTGTACTTGGTTAGGTGGTTGACAATATTTTCATGGTCTTAGTATTTTATATTTTATATAATCTGT